AACGGAGATGGTGGTGGTCAAAGAGCGCGACTGTGGACAAAGACTTGTCAGCGTATGTGGACAAAAACATATATGGAGGTGGGAACAATGATGGACAAAAAAAGAGATAATTGTGGGGGGACAAAAGCGATTGTGAACAAAACCGGTGATGGAAAAGGCGATTGTGGACAAAATAGAAACGAATACGGTGGTGGACCAAAATGAAGACGGTCGGTGTTGACGGAGACAGTGATTGACGATGATGGAGACAGTGGCTGTGAACATATACGGTGATGGTGGACAAAAACGATATGGACGAAAATGTATACCATGAAATCATAATTAAGGGTATAAATGTCTTTTTCATTTCATGAACAGTGATTTGTGATATTTTTTCGAGGGTTTTTAAATAAATGACATTTTTCGAATATATTTTTAAACAAATGGCATTTTTGGCAAAAATCTCTCGTTTCATTACTTATGTCTCCTTTAAATACTGTTTACATTCTATAACCTTTTTAGAACAATTTTTCTTCTTTTCTGATAACTGATTTTTGTTATGGATGTTAACTCAATCAAATTCATTGAACTGAGTAGTTTATATAAACCTCCTACAATTCAAGAACATTTCCCACTTATTATGTCCCAATACCTATATACAGGCTCAAAATGTTTATGGACATGTACTATTGAATTAAAGAGGTCCTCTCTTAAATTTGTTTCGGCCTACACACAAAATTAGATGCAAGCAAAAAAAGTTGATAGGCTTTTTTTGCTAGTTGCTACCAATCTAATACAATTAGGCCCAAATTTAATGTCATTTGAAGTCTCTCTGTTTTCAAAGTTTGTAATTATCTCATCACCCAAAAGCGAAAAAACTTTCCAAACTCTTTTTCTGCATTTGGCAATAATTTGATAACCTATAATAATTCTTAACAAAGACATGTAAAATGACCACTTAAGCCTAAGAAGAAACCCCAGAGTAAAAGAAGAAGAAAAGTTTGAGAAAAACCCAATGAATTTGATTAGACTAGAGTGTGACTCTCTTCAGCCTAATGACTTGTACCTGCAAAGAACCTTACATCTCAAAACCCTATCTTGAACATAAAAACCGGGCATCACCATAACCTTAACCCGAGCCGGTCCACGAGACGATGATGATTTCTGCCTGTCTCTATCTGCACCCATATCTTCCATATAACTCGATTCAAACACTCTGTTCTCTTCAACCCTCAAGATCCCTAACGCTGGATTAAACGAGAAGGCAAGCAAATGAAGCAACCATACACATTTTGCAGCCACAAAGAATGCTTGAAGCATTTGTTCAGACCAAGGTCTAGTCCAATTCAATGTTGTAATGATCAAACTCATCTTCTCATCGCAGAATCTACTGAACTCTTCACTGTAATACTTTGTACCCTTTTTCAATACCTCGTTCCAGCTCAAGTTTCTCAAGGAAGCGAAAGACGAGAACTTGGCTTGTCGATCTTGTTCCGGATCAAGCAGTTTCGGTTTACCGTTCTTCTGGAAAACGCAGTTCTCGAAATCTTGGTATACAGATTGGCTTATGATCGCTTCTAAGTGGTACTGAATGATTTTGGAGTACTTAGAGGTGAATGATAAGTTGTGTGATTGAAGGAGAGTGTTGATGTTACCAATTAAAGTCGAATCTTCTTCGTCGATCTCTGAAACTAATGTTTTCAAGAATTGCTTTATCGATAATCTTGATTCCGATACAATCTGTAAGAACCCTTCAACCATCACTTCTTCACTCACTGGCATCTCTGAGTTCTTCTTCCCTAAGCTTCTTGCAACATGATTCTCCTTTAACACTACTTCTGTTGCTTCTCTCAAAGCTTTCTTTAAACTGTCACAGTAACTTTCCAAGTACTGAAGCTTCTCACTTAACTCTCCTAATGAAGATTTCATCTCTGAGACTTGTGTTAAAGCAGCATCCCTACTTCTGTTTGCTTCCATCAACTCTCTCTTCAACTTTTCGACACCCGAACCACAATCCTTCAACACCTCAGAAACTTCCTCTGATTTATCAGTTCTATTAGGGGAATTAAAGATCGAATTGCTCTTCTGCTTCTTCTTTAACTTTGGGAATAACCAAGACATCACTCTTCCTCCACGGTTCCTTGTCTGAGAAGAAACAACCGCGGAATGCGAATCGGTCAAGGGCACAACAAGATTAGAGCTCTTCAAGCTCTTGGTATCGAAACCTCGTTGTTTGTATTCATTGCAAGAAGAGGCCGATCTAAAGTCAACCGAGCCGCAGTTGCTTCTACCGGATGTATAGAAATGTAACGGTGGAGACCTAAGAGCATCCGACATTGTGTAGACATGAGACTGATCTTGATGAGGCACTAAAGTCTTTCTTGAAGTTGAGGTTTTGTAAGAATCAGAGAGATAAGTATGTGTCAAGTCTTGATCTTCATGATCTCCATCTACTAAACCAATACCACCACATTCATCCCAATTCTCAGATAAAGTGAGATTCTTGTGATGAAATGCAGATACAGGCTCATCCTCATAGCTCTGTTTCGAGACCAATAGAGAACAAGTATTTAGCAGAGAAACTGTGTATACAGTAAAACACAGTAACTTGTGTCCAAATTAAGTACAGTGTGTAAGCAAAGGACAAAAGAAAACATTAGACCAAACATATATATGGTTGTACCAAATTCAGGTCTTTTCTGTTTGTCTTTATAGTGTTAACAGTAGTAAAATTATTAAAGGGACCAACCAAATTAATATTATGCATTTTTTCGAAATAATAACATACGGTACGTGAAGATCCAAAACGCATAGTACAATAAATTAAGATTCTCAAAAACAGAAATTGGATACTGAAATGCAACGATTAACGAGCCTTAACCGGGTTAAACCAATATAACTAAAGAATTTCAGAAGCTTTTAAAACAGAAATTGGATACTGAAATGCAACAATTAACGAGCTTAAACCGGTTTAAACCAAGAAATCTCGGGTTCGATGAGTTTAAAAAAGTGTCTTTAGACTTTCAAAAAGCTTTAAAACCCAAATTCCCATACACAATGTCGAAATGAATCTAGTTAGAGACAAGAAAAAGTGAAGTAACTCATGGAACTTATTTAAAA